AGGAATAATAATGTCCTGTAACATTTGCTTGTTTTTGTAGGCCTTTATACGGTTTTAAAATGTGGTTTTAGATGGCGTGCTCCAGTTTGGGGCTTCCCGCTTTTAACACAAACGTTGAGTTTAATTAATTGCTTACTTGTCGTGGGCCGATTTTTCTCGTGCGATGTTTCATGCTAGAAAATTAACAATTCAATTTGAAAAATCTATTTTTCAAGGTGTCACAGCCAAAAAGCACATATACACCAACTTTAAGTGCCGTTTTAAAGAATCCAGCACAATTGTCTCAACAAGGAACCTTTTTTTAAAACACTAAAAACTCCATGTGTTTAACGAGATAATCTCCCTCTATTGATTATGACAAAATAATATAAAACCTCCTACAAAATTCATCAATATTTAACATTTTTGAGTGCGTGAGAAAAGGGAACCTTTTCCCCTTTCAGCCTTCCCGTGCGTTACAAGAAACGCCAGTCAGACATAGGCGTTCCGAACGGCAACCCAGCAGATGCTCGTGTGCTGCTAACGCCTTTTTGTGTCGTTCATACCCGTATCAATGACGCAACCAAACTCTTTCACAAAAACTGGTATTAACTGGACCTCTCAATATTGCAATAAGTGCTTCCGTTCAGTTTAAAACGAGAAATTATCACTGAATGAATCTTAAAAAGTTGTCACACAACAAGCTGAATATGCTACACCATCCAAGAATTGTTTGGATTGCACTGTTACCGTATCACATTTCTGAGACCACTAATATCCGATGTCTTGTCGACCGTCATGAATGTGCGATGCTTTACGAGGAAGCGATATATCTGAGGCTATGTTTGCGTGGAAGTGCAGCTACTGAACCGTGCGTTGACACGTTATTAGCAAAGCGCGCAGCGACAATCAGGTATCATATTTACCGATAATCAAACAGTTTGGTGTGCATTTACACAGAGAGCAAACGGTGCCAGTGTTGAGTCTGGATTCCGACCCGTGACGACGCATCACTAGTAGGCAATTAGTGGTTGTTAGGTGCGGTGGACATAACAGAAGACGAGCCGTGCTGGGTTTGTCGTTTGATCGATTGACGCATGTAGCACATACGCATGCGCTTGGGAAAATGCACGCTAGCTTGGCGCGGTTCATTGGCGATAATTTGTGGGAGCGGCACAAGAATGTCTGAAAAGGTTCAAGCTCAATATTTGTTTTTAAGTTTGAGTTTTCATATGTTGGTGAAGCTAGTATGGGCTGCGGACAGTGGTCCACTTTATTTATGCGCAAGTTCTGCGATTTGCCTATAAAAAGTAAAGTCTGTCACGAGCCAATGGATAGGATGTCAGTCCATCGCAGGTTACTCTCTAGCTAATACCGGTACCCATTTATACTCCTGCGTGGAGAGAGGCAAGTAATTTGGATGTAGTGGCTTGCCCAAGGACACAGCATATGACCGCAGCTGTATTCGAACCCCTGACCCTCTAATCATGCGTTACGAACCCTAACCACTAGGCCACACTCCCCTATGAAAATGTGCACTGTAAAACTAGCGTCAGTATTTTTGTTTAAAAAAAAGGTTTGGAAATCTATTCATTCGCGCACATTTTGCCCTGGAGGTAACTTCAGCACGGGACAAGTCCAGCACTGCATGGGCAATGTCGAGGCGGCGGTTCGGTGGCCTGTAAGGACAGAGAGCCTTTCACTGCAGGTTTAATCACCGCGCCTAGAAAATAGCTCACTGATCGCCTCGTATAGCCTTGATACACCTCATTAAATGCAGTGGGATACACAGATACTTCGCCTCTCCATCAAACCCCAGGGAGGCATGAACCGTGGGACTGACATTATTTCCCATGCTTACCAGCAATTCCCTCTACTCCAAAACCGTTGACTTTCATGGTTGATTTTGGTCTTGCCAGTCGGACAGAGGGGCACCAGAAATATATTATCCGTTCAAAAGTCCACAATACCGTATTGATATTGTTCCCTTATTTGTTTAGTCAAGCCAAAACATACAGTGGTGCTTTTCCAAATATGGTGCACTTTTTTGATGTGTCAATCTATAACGAAGTTGCAAATACTTGCATCCTTATTCATCCGGCTGGTGTACAGCGCGTCCCAAAACACCCGCATTATTTTTCTTTCTTTTTTTGCGAGCCTCTGGCGTCGGCGCCGAAACACATACCGCCAGTTTTATACAATGTTAAAGCTTGGAATCTGAACTTTATCCCTGGCGAGTTTTAGTTTGATCTTTAACAGAGTTTAAAAATATTCGTGTTCCAATAAAACACTCAACCGATGTCAAGGAAAGTCTATGTTGCGGTACATCAGATGCAAACTTGAGCCACACTTTGAGCGCGCTTTTTGAATAGGTACATACGTGAATTTCAAACTTGAACTTGAAACGAAGAACAATATTGTGAATTCATTTAGTCAACAGTCAACGTGGATCGAAAAGAATAGGAAACACAGAAAGTAAAAGGCAACAAGATCGTCACATCATGATGAAGCATTTCCACATTAGAAAAAGAAATGTGCATGATTGATTTTCCTTGCAATCGGTCGGTCGGGTTTGTTTTTTTACATGCCTTTATTTGAAGCATTTCAATGCCATTTTAAAAATCAAACCAAAACTTACCAGGGATACAGTTAAGATTCCAAGCTTTAAAATGATGTAACAACAATGGCGGTACATGTTTCCGCGGCGATGCCAGCGCCTCGCAAAAAAAAAATGTCACGGGTATTTTGGGACGCGCTGTAGGTAGGCGAAATATATTTCCGGAGCTGACTTGAAATTAAATGTGTTTGTTTATCTGGACCTACCACTGTAGTTTCTCATAACAATAATTTCCGAAAGTATTATGTGGTAACAACTTTGCGCTCTAGGCCTATTTTTGGAAATGTAGTACTTCATTGTTCGTACAGAAGTTTCTTGACGTCAGGACCTGCACTGGTATTTTGATAACGTCTCAAAAAAATCTTTTGTGGAACTGTGACACTTTATTGTTGGTATAGAACTGAAGTTTGTCGGCCTCAGGATCTGCCACTGTTTGTGTTTTGGTAACAATTTCAAACAAAACTGCTGCTTTATGTTTGTGAAATATCTGCACTGACGTGTTTGCGTTAATGTCGTACTTTGTTGATCGTGTAAAGGAATTGGGAATTTAAGGACTTCAGGTTACCAGAATGCTTCTGTATCTTACACTGATGAATTTAGCCTTTTATTCGTCTTAATCCAGTGATTGCAATAATGAATCTTGATTGCTTAACGTTTCAATTTTCAACCCCCCCCCCCCTTTCCAGTTTCCCACGCCATATCCAATATTCCGCCTAAGGCGGACACAGCACATTTACCCGTAGAACATATGATCAAGAACACCAAATTTTGCGAAAAATATTGGATGTATTTTGTTTTCAAATTTCCAATGCAAATGCTATTGTTTTAATTGCTCTGTCGAAAACACATGTGAAAACAGACCACCTTTGTTTCCAATTCACTAACAACTTTTGAGTAGCATCTCGGAAAGGTTTCTGAAGACCAGTTTTTTTTTTAACCTAAACACGCGAAGAAATAGTTTGTACCTAACCGTCAAAAACCAATTAATAAAGGTATATTGCATGTGGGTTTGGGAATATTTTCAAATTACCTCTTGAAGTCAGATAACCAATCTACCATACAAACTTTAGTTCATTCAAGTCGATGCATTGGATCAAACGCTATGCTTCATCGAACTCAAGTCATAGAACTCAAAATCGTCGTGAGCCACTTTCCTTGAAAAAGAGAAAGCGCAGTTAGAGAAACACACAAAGGATGTATTTCCTTTGTTCAATAAGTACATGTTACTTAGTCTAACGGTCTCGATCTGTAAAGTTGATAAATAAAAAAAAGAGGCCCAAGTGGTTTTTTAAGTCCCGAATTGTGATTGCTGTATCTTTTGAACAAAACATCCCAATGAAACCAACTAAAAAGCTTTTGGAAGACCAATTGTTCTACTCAGCAAAACATTAGACACGATTTTGTATACTACCTCCACTTTTCTGAAAACATGCCCGATTTTTGTTTGACTGTTTTTTGTGTGTGGGACATCCTGGGTTTTTTTTTTAATGATGTTACTTTTAAGTACCACGGACTGTAATGAGGGGTGATCAAATTAACCAATTGTAGAATAGATGTCCATGTAGATAAGACAATTTACTCTCATATTGTTCATGCTCCTTTCATCCAGGAATTCAAATTTTGACGGTAAATTTCCCCTCAATCCAACGTAGTGTAAAATTATATTGCGCTGCAAAGGACTTTTACAAACTCCCTCTAACCGTCACGATTTTACGCATAAATGAGATTTTCATTATTAATCAATCATACTGAGGCCTAATCTGTGAACATACTGGAAGTTTGATGGCTCGGGGCCGTAGTGTGTAATAGATGGCCAGTGGAAGGCTGAATTAAACACTCAGTTTTCTCGTTGTTAATGTTCTAGTTCCGTAGGCCACAATAATCGACACTTTTAGGGTACCAGCGGTGCCTTTTGACGCCACGATCCGTAGTGGTGCGTTAATTACACATTTGCCTTTTGGGTATGGTTCTTGGAATATGTTTCAAACCATCAAAATCGGGCGTTGTTTGAACTTATGTCTCAACATGACGTGAAGGACGGAATACATTATTCATTGAAAAACATAGTCTGTACGTGTGAAGACAGCTTTAGATTGTACCATTTCAAAAACGACAGTTCACAAGAGTTTTTGTTTCACGAAGTATCAAAGGCTTCTAAAAGATCAGACAGTCTGTCTTTCACTGTCTAGAGTTATGAGTTATTCCCCAAAGTGTTGTATGAAAAGAGCAGCGAGGATCTAAAAAAGAAAAAAAAGGGGGAAGAAAAAGAAAAGAAACACATGCGTCGCTCAAATGCCGCTTCAGATAATGCAGCGAAATAAAACCGGCGAAACTTGTTTTGAAATGAATTTCTATAATCATGACTTATTTTTTTTTTCTCTCTCGTTTTATTTCATTTGTACAGGAGACCAACTTTTGGGACGCTTTGACGTAACTGTGACGACATTGCAGCCGTATTTTTTACACAAGAGAAAAAGGTCATACGCGCTTCATCTGGAGACACCCACTTAAACAAATGCCTCGAGCGGTTATGAATTTTTGGTATTTATGTTTGGATAGGACAAAACAATTTCAAGTAAACAAAAACACCCATCACGTTTTGATTCAATACACAACAGAGGATACTTGTTGATGACAATGAGCCTATATTTACCCAGATTGTAATGGTTATTAGTCGTATCCTGTTTCAGTTAATTATTATTTTAGTAATCACGAATTCTAATAAGGATTTGAAACCACAAATGTTCTTCGTTCTGTCATAAACAACATTCCTTTCTTGATAAGTTCATTGCATGCCGAAGGCATATTTGTTGTAGTCTTAATTTTACCAATCCTATCAACAAGGTAGTTAATTTACATGCAAGGACGTGACCATATAACTTTCGATGTTCAAAATAATAATTAGGAAACAAAAATCTCTCAAAATCGCCTACACGTTATTGGATATACAGGGTGAATCAGAATGATCTGGACCCAAATTAAAGAAAATATTATAAATATGTAGCAATTATCAAAACAAGTGCAAATGAGATACATATATAGGCTGGTATTTTGGACATGATATTTGGTGCACGTTTCATGTATATCCATTGTACCTTTTTGAAGAAAAGCGCTAGCAAAGAACACACGCTTAAAAACACTAGTCGTGGTGACTACTCATATGAAACATTCAGTATTTTTCTCAGTAAACCGGTTCTCTATTTGCCACCAAAAAAATCGTGAACTTGGGTCCAGATCATTCTGACTCACCACGTAATACTGAAGTGTTAAATCACTTGATTCTTACTAATTTAGGCTTGAATACACATTTTGTAGACTACTGATTGTTAAATCTAAATTTTCAAAAAATGACTTCCCTTTACAATAAACAAAAAATAACGTCTTGCGTTAAGGATGATTTCTCATGGCGTGATATTTCGCACTTCAAATTTGAAAAAAACCTCTAGTCTCAATCGTGAATTCTCCCCCCCCCCAAAAAAAAAGATCATCCTCAATCAGAAAACCCTGTCAAATTTACCCCAGAAAAGAACGGTAAATGACGCTCCGTGACTCGAAGATGGTGCGTGTTGTTATAAATAGCACAGGCACCTATTGCAGTAGAGCCTTAAATTGAGACATTCCTGCCACACGTGACTGTACCTAAACCACGTGTGCGTTTTGTTCAGTGCATGTACGGGCTTTAAATTGATTGGTACTGTAATTTCATTGGTTTTGTTACTTAAGCTATTAGTATTTTACTAACCCAATACTTTCTTGCCACAAATGATGAATGACTGTCATTAATTTGGATTAATTTTGAAAATCTTGATCTGATGTTTATCAAAATATTGTTACTGGGAAACAGCGATCGACTTGCCCAGACGTCTAGATATTCTTTTTTGTGTTAATTGATTATATTTTATACACAGAAACGTTTAAACATGATTCAACTACTATTAACTATATTACACAGAAATTAAATTGTATCTATCTATATATGAAATTATTAAAGTAAAATTGCCTTTGTGTAAACTGCATAATGTCGTGTATGGAGACTTTGTACGAACAAAACAAAACATTTAATTAAAATGAAATCCTTTCGCCACAACAGATCTTACAAAATACGCGACACGACGTGCTGAAAAAACTCAAAAAAGATTGCTAAGATTACCAAAACGAGTAACTTTGCCTTTGATGTTCAATTCTTGTAAATAATTATGTAGACATAGACGGGAGTGTTCTGCCTCCATTGTACAATCCTTCATTGCAATTAAATACTTTTTCTTTTGTCATTGTATCAAGTATTTTAGAATCCTTCTCTTAGTTTATGAAATAACCGTAAATAATGTAAATCATTGAGCTGATTATGCACTCGCTTAGACCATCAACATTTCTTTCATAACTTTGCTTTGTGAACAATGAAACTCTTAAATTTATCAAATCGGAATCCCCCAACAATTTTGCACTTTGTCATGACGGCTTTGCTTATCGCACCTGTATTAACACAACATCCACAAAATCGTTAATCTTCTAAAGGAAGATAATAAAAAGGTGTCAATAAAGAAGTTCCGGGGGGAACATTTTCTGTGAAATAATTATTATTTAACACATTCAAAACTTTGACTACACCAGCAACCTTTTATTAACACTTCTAAGGGAACAACATGTCTTGGCCGGTTTTAAACAAGTATGTTTAAAACCGGCTAGGGGCCTGGACGCCGATAATGACCCGAGCCGAAGGCGAGGGACATTATCGGCGACCTGACCCCTAGCTGGTTTTAAACGTACTTGATTAATATCGGCCGAGCACATATTTATTCTCATTCATAAGTTCCGGTCAAAACGTCAAGGCAAGTCACTAATTCACAGTTTCCGAACTATTATATTCAACAATTGTACCTCAGGTTTTGTGAAACACCCCTTTTTGTCTATTATATGTGCCTCGCGTGCCAAGGGCTAAAAATCTCCTTTATAGAGATTGGCGCGCGATGTGACGCAGAACGCAGCGGTGCAGGAATAAAGTGTTTTAAAAACTAGTTGGTGTTTCATCAACCGCTTAAAACCACCACGTGGCGGGCTCGTGACCAGTAGAAATGGTTAAACTGTCTTATGTATTTATGAATAATGGATAAATCAAAATGATGTCAATGATAATCCTTATGTTTTGAATCCCCTCCAATTTGAAATACTCATAATTTGAAATATCCATCGTCAGTATAATGTTTGGCAGTTAGTCCCGGCAATTACTCCAAAGTACTTCATTAATTCTGTCGGCTACGATTTTAACTTCATTTTGTCACAACCATGAATTTATTTTCAAAGATATTGCTCTCTTTAATAAGTAAAATATACCAGACGCACATTCCAATTTAGTATTAACGATTTCCTGAGTTTAAAGGCTTATTTAGGGAGTGTTAGAATCCATCTGCTTTCAGTTTACTAATTTGTAGCATAGAACTGCGTAGGTTTATGGGCTATTACTAGCTTGCATATTATATTTTTCAAAATGAACGCCATTACTTAATATATCAGATTGTACTTGCGAGATTGAAGATATCATTAAAATAGTAGGACGAAAGTTAAATCTGTGAACCGTTATGCTGTGTCTTTATGAATGTGTTATGTGAGGTAACAACCATTGCATGGGAAAACATACTCAGCCTGATTTAGCCAGAATATCGAAAACATGAAATATTTCAGAATTATGTACTGATGAAGTATTTTTTTTTATAAAGGAGGTAAGCTGCAGTGTGAAGATGCACACAATTGTTTTATAAGCCTTTCTACATTTTCAAAAGGCGCTCTTGTTGAAAAAGTTGTCTATATTTACATTTTGTGAATCTGTCCCAATATCCAATGTGAAAGCTGCTCTCTATAAGGCCTTTTTATCAAGGATTCCTCAAAAGTGCCCAAGGGACTGTAGCTTCAAAGCCTGAGGAAACCTGCAGAGAGAAGACAATGAGAAGAAATTACAGTTTTAGAGGTGGGAGGAAAACCCAGTATTTATTCTGAGTAAAACCCACCGAATCAGGTAGAGACTGAAAATCCAATCCAGGACAGGAATTGAACACGGGCCACAGCGGTGGAAGGCGAAGACAGTAACCACTGTGCCAACCTGATAATCATATTCTCAAATTTGAAAAGTTTCAAAGGTGCAAGTGGTTTCTAGGCTTGCTTTTTTAGTTCTGGCAGGAGCTGCTACATGTCACTTAGTGGTCAGTCAGTCTGTCCCCGCCAAATTGACCAATATAAGGCCCCGTAAGTTTTGTTATTTTCAAAAAAGCAATCAAAATCAATTAAATAAAATAACAAACGTTGTTTGTAACAATTGAGAAAGATGTTTATGAACAGTTTGTAAATTGAGGCGAAATATGTGCAGAAATGTTATAATCACGTGGTATTTATCAGTAATCGCTATAAATCTAGAGATACATCTGAAGTGTGATGTTCCATATTTGCCATCGGCGTCGCATTTTTGGGCGTCGAATTGTTAAGCTCGGGCAGGGATCATTTTGATAGATTTCATGCAAGACTTTCATGCAAGACGGCCATAGATTATTGCGCACTCGCATTTGTTTTGTCACAAAGTGGAATTCGCTAAAGGTTGGAGATCACTGAGAAATTCACTGTTTGTTGTAGTCTAATCGAGCGCGTGGAGGACACTCAAATGCATACATTTCATCTGCGGTGTTTTGCTGTGTTTTCCCCCATGAGAAATCAGAGTTGCTCCCGAATCTGTCTGTCGTTACCGAACAAAAGACGGGTGGCTTCCGAAGAATTCCATGCATACTTTTGACTGAATTGCCCGGACGTCTTAGTTATTCGGAGACAGCGTCTATTATAGTAATGACTTCTACGATAAAGCGAAATAGTATTCTATTACCAACTGAACAAAAGGCCCAGCCGCCCCCTTACAAACTCCTCTCGTCTTATGAATTCCTGAAATATTTAGCAAGTGATGTTTTGAAAGAAGATGTTCCAAAGGACGCCAAGCTGCATTTGAATTTCTAAAGTCCATCGTTTTTCAACATCTTCAATGCTAGAGTCTTCTTACTGTTTTGAAACCGTACAAAAGAATCTGTGAATTGAAAGTTCGGGCGAGTTTTGAGTGAAGCTGGAAGTTTGGAGAAGCACTGGATTTGATTGTTGATTTTTAAAGGTAGCATACAACACTTGCTTTTGCTGTATTTTACAGAAATGGGTGGATTTGGGGGTTAGAAAAACCAAGAAAAAATGTTGTTCTTGTAACCACCCTGATCCTACTTTAGACGAAACGGAGCAGTTTATTGAATTACGGGAATTGTCAGGTCAAGGAACCAGGTGGCTTGCACCCCTTCACGGATGTGTAACTAACTATGTAACCGATATGTACACTAACTAAATTGGGTGAATTTGGGGCAGTATTTGAGAAAAAACGTGGGGTGTCCCAACGATGGTTGGCCAACTGTCGTTGGAAATTGATACAAACATTCCACTTGTCTTGAAAATGACAGGATACCAAGTGGCTGCCATAGTATATTTCATACACACTCAAGAAAGGTATTTCATTATCAATTGGTAGCTGTGTGTTTGATGTGTGCAAATGTTGTATATTACCTTTAATGTAATCGACCAGATTGAATGGGAACAAAGAATATTATTAAAGTTGGTTTTAAACGTGCTTTTTGGTGTGGCACCTTGAAAAAAATATGTTCAAATTGAATTGATCATTTTCTAGCATAATTCGTTCTGAATAGTGTGCGCAAATTCTGAACTGGAGCGCGCCATTTAAAACCAATTTTTATAACTGTCTAAAGGCTTGCAAACACAAACAATCAAATGTATTTGTTATAGGACAGTATATTCCTTTAAATTCGTTCTGAAAAGAAAATCTAAATTTGAAAAGCTGGTGGAGGAAAACAAGTCACAGCGTCACTCGTCCGTCTTTCCCCTTACAGCATAAGGCGTTAGAGTTTGCGAAGCTCGTTCCTCACACTGAATTCATAAGAATTGAAGTGCCCATTTCACAATATTTTATGACATGAACCATGCAATGAAGATGGTGTACCGTG